ACATGTAGATGTGTTTCTTGTTTTCGGGTGAAATTGTATGAAAAAAATACTTATATTTAATAAAAACTGGGTTATAATTTGTGTTAACGAAATTGATAAACAGTATGTAGGTCAGGTATTAATTAAATGAAATACTGTCAATATTCTATCATTTGGATCCTATATGCTCGGAATGCGTGTTTCTCAACCCGTTGCGGTTTGGTGTATATGCTTATATGCATGTGTCTTGAAGCATATATCTTAATTATCTTACACAGTTAACAGACTGATAATTCAATAATCAATTCAGTATATATAAAAGAAACGATATAGTTGTAGTATGGTAACTTAATGGGTTTTTAAGTGATATTTTTCCGACAGTATACCTCCGCAAATTTTCCGAGAGCCGCTGTCTTGCGAAAGACTATATTTATTTTTTTTCTAAAAAGATAATTGCTATCATATGTTAAGTCGTAACAAGTCACAAAATTAGCGGCTTTTGAAAATAAATTTAGTTGCATTTCTGTTTCCAGCGCGCAACTTGAAACGTAGTTTTCGTATTGTTGTGCCAGTCATGAACGATGCATTCAACAAATTGTAGTGGCATAGTAACATGTTGCATGTGTAAATAAATAACAGTTTCAGGTGAAAAATGATTACACCGTTTTTTGTTTACATTCAAATTATATGGCACTCCACAACCATGTGTTTATTTTATTTTGCAGTTCACCCAGCAATTACGTCTGGCCCTAAAGTCAGAACAATATTGCGGATATTGTTGGCTTCATGAGATGTAGATGCTTGTATTCGGGCCGAATAAAAACAAAACTGTATGAAAAATACTTATATTTAATAAAAACTGGGTTATTTGTTGATATGTGTTAACGATAATTTAGATATGGTATGTATGTCAGGTATTTATAAAATGAAATACTGTAAATATTCTATCATTTGGATTCTATAATATGTTCGTATTGCGTGTTTCTCAACATGTTGCAGTTGGGTGTATCTGTTTACACATATATATATATGTACCTTTAAGAATATATCTTAATTACCTTGCTCACCTCCATCTACAAAAGTCATATGACTTGCTGTGGCATATGACCTTGCGTACTTGTCATTAAATTCATAAAGTGTCTGTGCTGTTTTTAGTCGACCTTGCAGAAAAAGTCAGCAAATATATGTTAATCCAGGAAATGGAGAAAATCCGATACTTGTAGTTAACAACTTGTAACATTACATTATTAAAATAATACCATGTTCATTAGTGAAGAGTGACGCAGTGTCTAGCGTCCATAAACTTTTTAAGATATTACAACGTTAGTATAAGCTCCTTCTATGGTGGCTGATTTGTGCCATTCGTGTTTTCGCCTCGCGACCCGGCCAAGCGAAAAGTCGAAAATTAAGAAGTTAAAATGGCGGGGGTGCGCAGCGAAAACACGCTAATTATCGAGGGCGCATGGCGAAGTTGAATAAATAAAACTACGTCCAGCGGGGGCGCCGAGCGAGATTTAAGAAATAAAACGGCGGGGTCGTGGGTCGAAAACACGCTAATTAGCGCGGGCGCGGAGCGAAGGTTAATTGATAAAACATAGCCGCGTGCCCCCGCTAATAAGCGTGTTTTCGCCCCGCGACCCCGCCAAGCGAAAATTAGATAATTAACAAGTTAAAATGACGGGGGCGCGGAGCAATAACAAGCGAATTAGTGAGGGCGCGGGGCGAAGTTTGATAAAAAAAACTTCGTCCCGCGAACGCGCCGAGCGAGATTTAAGAAATAAAACGGTTGGGTCGTGGGATTAGTTGGGTCGCGGGGCAAAGTTTAATAAATAAAACTTCACCGCGCGGTCCCGATTATTAGCGTGTTTTCGTCCCGCTACCTCGAAGGGGCGCGGAGCGAGAACACGCTAATTAGCGGAAGCGCTAATCAGCGTGTTTTTGCTCTGCTCCCCGCCGTTTTATTTGATAAATCTTCGCCAGTCTGTCTCTAATTAATTGAGGTCACAATTCCGCTATGAATAAGTGTTAGTCCTCTCGCTCGGAAATTGCCTAAATAACTTCATTCCACTTTTGATCAACGTCCATGGCATTTAACAAACCGTGCATATATATTTACATTGTCATTCTCCGTTCATTGTTTATCATTTTGATTGTTTCATTCAATGAGATTTACAGAGACACGCTTAACTGTGTTAGATTTCGTTTCATAGTGAACGTCAAATTACATCCTGTTGTTAACTTTTCTCTTTGCTACTGCGTGCTGATAAAAATCTTTGATGTATGATACCAAACTTTTTTTCTGAATGCCAACAAATTCATCCTTTATTGATCTGTGGAAAATCATGTTAGGCGCTTGTATTTTATTGATTGTACAATGAAAACAAGAACATGTTTTGTCATCGAAAATCGTCCAAATTTTGACGTGCGCCATCTAAATTTCAATGTTTGAAATAGAATAAAAATATATCAATGACATATTTTCCATAAAATTTGCTTGTTATCATTTGTTATAAACATAAGTTTTATATTTATTAAACTTCACCCCGCGCCATCGCTTATTAGCGTGTTTTCGTTCCGCGACCCCGCCGTTTTAACTTGTTAATTCTCTCGACTTTTCGCTGGGAGAGGTCGCGAGGCGAAAACACGAATGACACAAATCAGCCACCATATCTTACGTACCGTCCCATGTCCAAATCAAGCATTGACACAGTAATACCCTCGAAGAAAAAGTATTTTTATTTCATTGCATCAAAAATTGCCATACACGCTTTTCATTAAATGTAATTCACAACATATAAATATAAAAATATAATCATCGTACCACAGCACAATGAAAACTATAGATACCTTATCTTTTTTATATCTCAAATACATGCATATTATCAGTATGTATTAAAAACTATGATATTGTTTTGAAAGCATGCAGCAATTAAACAGTTTTTCTTGTCATCATACAACAATGATGTTGGATTAATCAGACCAGCATCTTTACCCACCAATTCTCCCAAACATTTACCATCTCTATCAAACATCATGATGTTTGAGCTATTCCCAGAAATAAACACGGTCCCGTCATTGGCTACACATACACCACGTGTGTAGGAAAGCCTTTTATCTCTCAGTTCTCTCTTCACCTTACCATCTCTGTTCAGACAGATAGCACCATCACTATTATCTGCTATAATAACAGTATCTCCACTGACAGCCATTTGTTGTGGATATGATTTAAATATGCGTTGACCATTGACATCAATACTGATGGACTTTAATAATGTACCAGTCATATTGTATACATTAACATTATTACCAGCATATACCCACAACTCTCCAGCGCAATATGTCATTCCAAAGTAACGTCCACCTATAACAGATATATCTTTCATCTTAGATAATGAACTTCCTACTGATATAAACCAAACTGTGTTGTTGTTCAGTTTCACAGCGACCTCAGTATTACCAGTACAACACATACCTCTAGGATTTGATTCTAGATCCAAACAATCTTTAATGTTATAATTCACATCAAGCCTCTTTATCCTCGTGTTATAATAGTCAGCCAGTATTATTGTACCGTCAACAAGCTGACATATATCAACAATGTGAGATTGACTATGGTCATTTGTCATTTTGATATTAATCTCTTTCTGTGAACTTACTTTATGCAACTTTAATGCCATCAAACTGTTGTTTTCTGTTGTCTTCTGAACAGACCCTAAAGATGTTGACGCAATGATTAAAGATTTTAATTCCGTATTTTCCGTAAAGTGTAAATACTGACAACCTTTTACCTCGCTTTGTTTAAAAACTTTCAAAGCATTGTTTACAGTCTGTTGTACCAGTTTTGTCTGTACAAATTGTTGCCTTATACTCATACTGTCGACTGTCTGTAACTGGCTACTTGCTTGCTCAATTTCTTGTTTAACTTTGCTAATCTGAGAAACATTTACCTCAATCTCTTCTTTGGCCAAAGTAAAGTCTGAATTAAGAGCTTCCAATGCTTTATGCTTCAGCTTACGGATATGTTCAATGAATTCCCGCTCAATTCCCTCTATCTGAGAAATAATTTCGTTTCTTTGCTTCTCAACCCTATTGATGTTCGTCTGCAGCTTCTGATCAGTGTCATCTAAACGCTGTTGAATAGTTTTCATGTCCGTTTTGAGTCGCTCAATCTCTTTTACCTGATGTGAAGACACGTCTTCTAAATTAGATACTCCATTGCAGGATCTGAATTAAACAAAATGCCATTATTATGAACGTCATCACTTTTCAATTGTTTTGTTTTGAATTACTTTTACGTTAACTTAAAAGTACTTACTTTGAAAAGATGGGCATCTCAAAATTCATAAAATTCTGGAAAAGGGGAAACAGTTCGAGAACAATAAACTATGTATAAATTAAAGTGAAAATTGCAGGTTCGATTTTCTTATGCTGAAAAGCAACCGTTATTGTCCTAGTGATCGTTATCTTTTCTTTTATACATTTGGTATATTTTAATGTTCAATTTAAAGCACTTTTTATTAAATAATCCAGGCTTTACTCCGATGCATAGAAAAAGTTATTTCCCTGTATGATTTTCTAGAATAAGGTTAATCTTTAATTATATAATTCTAGAAAACGCGCATAATAACAAAGTGATATAGTCTAAAACAAGATAATAAAATATATAAACAAACCTGTGATTATCAAGAATACATTTCATACAATAGACAATGTCATGTGCTCCACAGTACATTTCAATGTCACGATCTGGATGATAACGACATTTTGTAATCATGGTTACCGCTGTACCTTTTGTTGACGCATCACAGTTTAGTAACGTATGTGACCGTGTAGCTTTTTGTCGACCATGATGTCGTGTACATGATGTACACAGATGTTCCACACATACGGGACAAAACTTGACGGCCTCTTCTCTGACATTATCCTCCCCACAAGGTGAACACGTGTACTCGGAGTCAGCATCCGAGCCATCTTTTATTGAACTCCAATCTCCACCCTCAGCCATGTTATATTGTCGTTCTTACTTCTGTTATATTGGAAAAGAATAAAATGTGCTAATACAAAAACTGTATATATATTTTTAGTTAATATATTCTACACGAACAGCTTAGGTAATAAATTTTTTTTTCAATAGCAATGGCAACATATATAAAATAGCTGTAATTTAAAGTTGTAGATGTACGAGGTTTATCCCAAAAAATCGCATAAAAGTTCCAATTTGAAAAATGTCCCACACTTTTGTATTTTGGAAAACACATTCATATTTATTATCGAAATAACAAGGAATTTTTTGGGGAAATATGTCATTGATATTCATTTTTAATTCTAATTCAAACATTGAAATTTAGATGGCGCACGTGAAAATTTGAACGATTTTCGATGACAAAACATGTTCTTGTTTTCAATGTAAAATCAATAAAGTACAAGCACCTAGCATAAAAATCCACAGACCATGCAAGGATGTATTTGTTGGCATTCATAAAAAATGTTTGGTATCATACATCAGAGTTATTTCAGCACGCAGTAGCAAAGAGAAAAGTAAAGAAAAAGGACGTAATTTGACGTTCACGAAAAAACGGAATCTAACACAGATATGCATGTCTCTGTTAATCTCATGGAATGAAACAATCAAAATGATAAACAAGCAACAGGGAATAACAATGTAAATATATATGCACGGTTTGTAAAATGCCATTGACGTTGATCAAAAGTGGGAAGGAGATATGCAGGCAATTTCCGAGCGAGAGGACTAACACTTATTCATAGCGGAATTGTGATCTCAATTAACTAGAGACAGACTGGCGAATGTATGTTGCATATCGCACATACTAGGGACCAGTTAAGGTTCTGCACACAGAGTATTGAAAGACATTCTTGGAATACAAACGGATCGGGTACGCTTGGAGCCCATGCCATTTATCTAAGACAAAGTTAATGATAAAATAGCCTCATGTTGAAATCAGACCATTGTCGCTACCTCTTTACAACATAAAGTTTCAAATGTCTGTAAATCCATATCGAATTTCGCATACAAAGTGAAAATATATTTACTTTAAATATGTATAGAATTGAAAATGGTATACATAGTTTCAAATGTTTGTAAACCCATATCGAATTTCGCATACAAAGTGAAAATATATTGACTTTAAGTATGTATAGAATTGAAAATGGTATGGCGAAAACTTTTTATAGAAGTTTTATCCGAACTTTTGGGACAAACCTCGTACAATACACACCTTCATACTAAAATGTAAGACAAAAAATACAAAACAAGAACGTGTTTGTTAAACACAAATGCCCCCGGCTCAGATTCTTGTCAGTAACAATATTTAAAATAAAGGCTGTATGGGCAAAAGTGTAAAAAATCTATTTTTAGCACTGATGACCTTGACCCAACTGACCCTAACTCCATCAAAAGGAAGAATATCATGCAACTTATTTTCCTACCAAATATGAAATAAATCTGTCAATATATAAAGGCTGTATGGGCAAAAGTGTAAAAATCTACTTTTAGCACTGTTGACCTTGACCCAACTGACCCCTAACTCCATCCAAAGGAAGGATACCATGTATGTTATCTTCCTACCAAATATAATACAAATCTGTCAATAAATAAAGGCTGTATGAGCAAAAGTGTAAAAAATCTATTTTTAGCACTGGTGACCTTGACCCAAATGACCCCTTACTAAAGGAAAAGGAAGAGGACATCCCATGGTATGACTATTATAAACATGGAAGACATTAACTTAAAAATAAAGGCTGTATGAGCAGAAATGTTTAGATTTATATTTTTACACAAGTGACCTTGACCTTGACCTAGAGACGCTTAACGCCACAAAAATTAGAGGACCGTTAAAGGTATCCACCTACCAAATATGAAAGATTTCATTAAGTAAATTAAGTCATTAGGTGAATTTTTTTGATAAATCCAACTTGGCGGAATAGGTTAACCATACAAGGCCCTATTTTCAAAGTGATAAAAAGGGAAATTACTGGGGAAATGGATGGTATAGTTATATAACTTGGCAATATCATGTACATTGAATTGATGAGTTAGTGTGAAAATTATTAAGCCATTATTATAGTTCAGACAGAACATAAGATATTTCCAACTTGCCGGTTTAGGTTAACCATTATTCATTTTCTAAGTGCTGAAAAGGGCAATAACTTGGTGCAAATGGAAGCCATAGTTATGTACCTTGCCCAGATCATATACTTTGTATGGATTAGTAAGTGTATAAATTATGAAGCCATTGGTACAGGTAGAACTTAAGAAAAATCCAACTTGCCGTTCTAGGTTAACCTCGTACGGACAGACGGACAGGCGGACGGACGGTTCAATTACTATATGCCTGGGGGCATAAAAAAGATATATGAATATTTATTTTTAATTACTTCCATTAAGGTACCTAATTTAGGAAATACGTACTTGACTATTGTTGTTTTAAATGAACAATGAAATATAAGCATTTTTAAAATTATGAAAAATGTCAAAGTAAATGTTGTATTTTCTGAAAGTAGTCCAAATTTAACAAGTTGTTACTTAAAATGATATTAAAATATAAAGAAACAAAAAAAAAAGTTGATTTTGATATGGTTGAACGGGTCTTCATTTTGAAGCTGCACGTCTCTTTTTTGTTTGTTTGATTGGGTTTAACAGGGCTCACACAGGCTCAAATAAAATAATAGCCAATATTTTTTACTTAAAAAAATAATAGCCAAAAGTTCAGCTTTCAGTTCAACTTTAACGTCCCCCCGACACAGTATATGTCATATTGCGACTTTACTGGTGGAGGAAGACATCAGATTCCCTTCCATGCATTATTTCAGGCACGAACGGGCACCTGAGTAGAACCAGCGACGTTCCGGAAGCTAGCTGGATAGCTTCCTCTTATGAAAAAATCCAAAGTCCCTGTAGGGATTCGAACCCACAGCGGGAAGGGGCAAGTGGTTTGAAGTCAACGACTTTAACCACTCGCACGCCTCTATATGAGCCAACATTTTTTAAAGAAAACTAAACTTGAGACATATTTACTAAACCTTTAAGAAAAGTAAAAAGATTCAAGAATCAAATAATATTTTACATGTTCTGTGCGATAAAGACCAAATTTTGCAGTAGTTGTTACCATTTTGATTTCGTCACCAAGTTATACAATTCTTAAAAAGAAAGTCATGGAAATTAGCATGAATTTAGAGGGATGCGGGCATGTTGCTGTAATTATCAGCTGTCTCGACTACAGAATGTTTGAGAATATTCCAGAAAAGTTGTCTATATCAAACGGCCAAAAAGATCAATCGCACCACTTCGACTATTATTCATAATCATCTCAGAGTAGCGGTTCTAGCTCTTGACTTCGGATGAAAAACACAAAGTTTAATCCTTTCATTATGGGTAACGAATATATTTATTTCACATTTAACTGAAAAATGATCATTGAAAAAATATGTATGACAATCAGAACCAATTCAATAATTCTCATTGTCAATTATATATATATATCTAACATTAACCAGGTACATGTATAAAGTTTGTTATTTCGGTTTCTAAAAAAAACATAATAGTAAGTCTATAAAGAATGCATTTTTAGTTCATCAAACGAGTCAAGTAATATCATATCCCACTGTTTACCCATCATCCAAGTAAATTAGCATGTTTTCATCTCTATGATTAATTTTCCTAAGAACTTATGCTTATACAATGTACATATTTTTACATAAAGCACGATTTTCAATATACACAACTATTCAAGATTCAATTTAAAACTTGATATAATCCTTCACAAGTCAACAATTTTATGAGGGTAAGTTTTCAATTTTTAAACATTTTTGAAAATAACATCAAAGCTCTTTTTTTATAAAAAATATCGAAATCATATCTACCTACTGACTTTCCTCTATATTCACCCGTTTTTGTATCGAACTATCCTGCACTTTTTGCAGAGCTATCATTTCCGCTGTGAAGGAAATGTCACAAAACAGACTTTAAACACAGTAATCATGAAATCTAACCGAAAAACAATGCTGAATATTCAACTTTTTTTGAAACATTATAGAAATTTGGCCGAAATGAAAGACATCAACGGTGACAATTCCATCTGAGCTCCATAACGAAGTGCTGAAAAGATTCATAAGTGGTATTAACAAAAACCACCGTCGCCTAGCTGGGACCACGTTTGAATTGATCAAACAAATGGGAGGAAGAATATTATAGTAAATAATATTCATATAAAACATAATATTCTTGTACAAAATGTAATTCATATTTCATATTTGACCTTGACGGTCTAGGTCCATGTGTGTTGCTTTGTGTAAGTATTATTGAAATCCAGGAATAGATAATTGATAAAATAAAATGTAATGCAATTTTTACGGTCACGGTCAAATTAAGGTCAAGTTCATCAATGAATTATTCATTATACTTCTCTTTGTATAAGGGTTCTATTGCCCTGGTATAAATCAAATCCGTAAATATATAACAGTGTTATGACAATCTAATCAAAATGGAATATTTGACATTTTCAAGTGTTTTTTTTGTTCGAGAGTGAATTAAATCGATAAATAAATAACAAAGAAATGGGACAGTGTATCAAAATTCCTGATTTGAATCTGAGTGCCAATATCAATTATATAAGGTCAATATCAAGTTCAATCAAATATTCTTTACTGTCATGTCCCAAAGTTTGTTGTGCCAAGTATGAGGAGAATCTGTTCTTTACTTACAAAAGTATATCCTATCCTCTGTCCTATTCCATCCTATCCTATTGTCTCATCCTCTTTCCTATCATGTCCTCTCCCACGTATCATATCCTCTATTTAATAATCATCTTTCCTATCCTTTATGCTATCCTATTCTATTTGCTACCCTTTATCATTTATCATATTCTAGCCTAAATCATAATCTTTATCCTATCCTACCTTATCCTCTTCCCTATCCTATCTCATATCCTTTTCTATACTATACAATCCTGTCCTCTCTTCTATCCTATCCTATCCTCTTATCCTCTGTTGCATGTATCCTATC